TGTATATGAATCTATATATTATAATTCATTCATTGCAATACTGTTTATTTAGATGATTTAGATGCAGGAATCTGCAAACATTAAACCAGGAAACTTCACTGTCACAGACGCAGAGACGAGAGGCTCACAGTCTAAGTCTACGTTCAGTCTGCAGGGTTTAACGCTCAGTTCAGATTTTTTGTGTGAAATCCGATGTTTTTTCGAGGTTGTTCACATTTCCAGTTAAATGTGACTTGTATGTGATCGTCAGTGTGAACATTAAACGGTCCAAAAGTGTCCCACATGTGACACTGGAGACACGACGACGTCAACCGCAGCGAGCGTCTCTGTGTTTACACAAGTTGTCCAAACATGGACGCAGCATCGAGCACCTGGAGATTTTAAAGTTCCTCTCGTACCGGAGCCACAACATGAACAACTGACTTGTTTTAAGGAGGAGATTGAGAAGGAGAAGGACGAGGTTTTTGGTGGTGGTGTTTTGTGGTGAGTGGTGATGTGCCTCACTTCAGTCACACTGAGTTCATTAACAATTTTCACCTCCTTCAGCGCAGAATAGTGACGTTTGTGTCTTGTTGATAACGTGTAGGTGGATGAATGCGCTTTGGCCGTTCACACTGAAGTCACATGTCAAAAGATCAGATATGTATCAGTTTCAGGAGCACAGATCCAAGTGTCCTGGGTCACATTTGAAAAAATCAGATCTGGGGTGTTCCCAGACCAGACACACACAGTCCCTCCAGTGTGTCCTGGGTCAGCACATGTGTCAGAGTAAAACAGGATGTGATTGTGTAAAACTTGGAGCTGCTTCTTCTTCTCGTGGAAACAGAGAGATGATCTTTAACAGGCCGGGAGCCAGGTCCACCCCCCAGGATGTTTTTTACTCCTTTTTTTCACTATTATTTTCTGTTATATTATATCTTGAATGAATGAATGAATATTTATTTGGACAGTAATACATAGAACATAAAAAAACAAAACAAAAACAAAACGTAAATATATAGATACAACACAAAAAGTATCTATTTCTATTCTATAATAACAGGCAAAATAAATGTTACACAGAATTTTCCTTGTGTCCAAAAAAGGAGTGGGAGGAAGTAAATACTTATTTAACCCCACCCCTTTTTTATACCGTCCCAATTTAACAAAGAACATACAGACTTCTCATTTCCTGTACAATATAAGCAATAATTGCACAGTACCTCCATTGCATTACAAATGTCAACTACTACAAAGATCTTGGGCCATAACGAGTTGATGGGACCAACTCCAACTCGGCCCCGTTTGGGCTCAGGGCCCAAAAAACACACTTTTTAAGAAAAGCTATTTGCAAAATTATGTAACTGTAAATATTAAGGTACTGAAACCGCATACATGGTTAAATAATCCTAAAATTTGGCATGGTGGATCCTGACACATGGGGGAAACTAGAAGAAAAATATTTTGGGGCTTGCTGCCTTTCTACTGTCAAATATCACCCTCAACATGTCCTAAAAGACCAAAAAATGTCTGTCCGCCTGACAAATTGTCATCAAAAGTGATCATTTTCAAGCATTTTATTGCATTTATCACTGCCTCAAATGTACACGAAAAACTTCCCATGTTCATAAGCTTCAATTTAAGCCCAAGACGACCTTTGTATCTAGAGGGAAACAGCTGCTGTGACCAAACTTCTTCACTGTTCCTCAAATCGGCAGGAGGCAGAACTTTCAGGCTTTGCCATTTATGTTTCTTCTAACAAAGCTCATGTGAACCAAAACAAACACAATCAAATCCAGAGGTTAAAAATTAAAAACAAAAATCAAGGTTCAAAGGTTGTATGGAGGATTATTATTTTTTTGTTTCAAATTGTCAATGAAAGTTTAAATACCATTATAGAGACGTAGCAACTTTGTAATTATGACGACCAAAAAAATAATAATAATGAAAATCCATCAACTGTGGACGTAGTGAGACCAGAAAAATATCAGCCAATAGAAAACGAGGCTCCCTCATTTTCTATTGGCTGTTAGGTCGTCAATCAACCTCCCTACGTTTCTAATGTAACTGACTCATTGGTTTGCTGGGATTATGTGGTTTATGCAGCGGTTTTTAGAGGCTTTTTCAAACTGTCGCTTCCTCACAGTTCGCACAAAGTTTGTCGCGATGTCGGACGAGAATCCACGACCGCCGCAGTTCGCCTCAAAAGAAAGTCGTTTTTTGATGTCGCTGAAAGAAGAAGAGAAGGGGAAAAGGAGCGAAGACAAACTGAGGTGATTCTTGGAGATTTCTTCCAGCGATGGCGCGAATGAAGCAGGAGAAGGATCTAAAAACTGACACGTCGGTCACTAAATTATTTCTAGACAGGAAACTTCAACATTAATTCTGAACAAACGTGATTTCTAGAGTAAAGAGGCGGGAGGAGGTGTTTCTACTGAGGCTGTGGAGGAGGGAGGTGGTGTCACACATGCACAACATTTGAAAAAGGAAAAAATCCTCTATACAACCTTTAAGTCCAAAGCTTCACCTAGATTCATAGAACAGGATGAGTGTCCACAGCGGCTGCGTCTCGTTCACTGCTCGTATCAGTGGGGACTTGTTCTTCTGCTCGTTTCTCCAGCCTCGGCTTCTGTCCTTGGAGGAGCTGTGGTTTTATCTCGTGCGTTTGCGTCGTCCTTGTGCTTTAGAAAAACTCCGTCTATGTTATGTTCCACTTTTGTTTCCCAAAGACTCGGTCGCAAACCTCAGGAGGGAAAGAGAGATGTTTAACGATCTGTAAAACATGAATCCTGAAATGTGGACGTCTGCTCATCGCACAAACCAAACTGAGAAAGATTATCTGAAAAAAACAGGACAAAACCAGGTTTAAACCAGGACTAACCCAGGACGAAACCAGGTCTAAACCAGGACTAAACAAGAACTAAACCAGGACGAAACCAGGACGAAACCAGGACTAAACCAGGACTAAACAAGAACTAAACCAGACGAAACCAGGACGAAACCAGGACTAAACCAGGACGAAACCAGGACTAAACCAGGACTAAACCAGGACGAAACCAGGACGAAACCAGGACTAAACCAGGTCTAAACCAGGACTAAACCAGGTTTAAACCAGGACTAAACCAGGACGAAACCAGGACGAAACCAGGACTAAACCAGGACGAAACCAGGACGAAACCAGGACTAAACCAGGACTAAACCAGGTCTAAACCAGGACTAAACCAGGTCTAAACCAGGACTAAACCAGGTCTAAACCAGGACTAAACCAGGACTAAACCAGGACTAAACCAGGTCTAAACCAGGACTAAACCAGGTCTAAACCAGGACAAAACCAGGTCTAAACCAGGACTAAACCAGATCTAAACCAGGTCTAAACCAGGACTAAACCAGGACTAAACCAGGACTAAACCAGGACTAAACCAGATCTAAACCAGGTCTAAACCAGGACTAAACCAGGACTAAACAAGAACTAAACCAGGACGAAACCAGGACTAAACCAGGACTAAACCAGGACGAAACCAGGACTAAACCAGGTCTAAACCAGGTCTAAACCAGGACTAAACCAGGACTAAACCAGGACTAAACAAGAACTAAACCAGGTCTAAACCAGGTCTAAACCAGGACTGAACCAGGACGAAACCAGGTCTAAACCAGGACTAAACCAGGACTAAACCAGGACTAAACAAGAACTAAACCAGGACGAAACCAGGTCTAAACCAGGACTAAACCAGGACGAAACCAGGACTAAACCAGGTCTAAACCAGGACTGAAACCAGGACTAAACCAGGTCTAAACCAGGTCTAAACCAAGACGAAACCAGGACTAAAACCAGGACTAAACCAGGTCTAAACCAGGTCTAAACCAGGTCTACACCAGGACTAAACCAGGACTAAACAGGACTAAACCAGGTCTACACCAGGACTAAACCAGGTCTAAACCAGGTCTAAACCAGGACTAAAACAGGACTAAACCAGGTCTAAACCAGGTCTAAACCAGGTCTAAACCAGGACTAAACCAGGACTAAACCAGGTCTAAACCAGGACTAAACCAGGACTAAACCAGGACTAAAACCAGGACTAAACCAGGACTAAAACAGGACTAAACCAGGTCTAAACCAAGACTAAACCAGGACTAAACCAGGTCTAAACCAGGACTAAACCAGGACTAAACCAGGACTAAACCAGGTCTAAACCAGGACTAAACCAGGTCTAAAACAGGACTAAACCAGGTCTAAACCAGGACTAAACCAGGACTAAACCAGGACTAGACCAGGACTAAAGCAGGACTAAACCAGGACTAAAACAGGACTAAACCAGGTCTAAAACAGGACTAAACCAGGTCTAAACCAGGACTAACCAGGACTAAACCTAAACCAGGTAAACCAGGACTAAACCAGGACTAAACCAGGACTAAACCAGGGACTAAACCAGGACTAAACCAGGACTAAAACAGGACTAAACCAGGTCTAAACTAGGACTAAACTAAACCAGGTCTAAACCAGGACTAAACCAGGACTAAAAC